TGCCGAAATATCAATCTTCCTGTAGTAAACAACGGCATGAAACTCCACAGAGCTGCAATAATTGGTCGCCGAGGACAACAAACACATCTGTTTCCATTGCGCCTCATTGTAACGCAGTCGATTAGTTGGTGGTTTGGAGAGACGATAGGGTAGCACATCCGGGCGATCGCGGCCTGCCAATGTTAGATGGATCTAAGACGCTGCATCAACAAACTTAACCCAGCAGGACGTAGCCGCTCCGGGGTTACCGCTATCCGTTTACAAACAACCGGCAGCCCTGAGGAAGGTATACACCTATATATATATATAATTATAACCTGCAATAATCGACAAAGTGTACTATGGTTATGTTGCAAGATATTGTTGATTCGTTTCGAACACTTTAGGCCTGCGGTTACACGACAGTTTGTAGAACAAAGTCAACTTTAATACTGTGTTTGACTTTTTTCTATAAACAAACAGAATCATGCTATATCGATCGGCTACTTGAGGACAGGTTCGGGGATAAGCCTTATAACCGCCGAGCGACCCATTGGATTTCTATGTATGGAGCGTTACTGAACGAGAAATACAAAACATTTATTTACTAGCTATTCGTGCTATCAAAATAGTGTTCATAAAATTGCAAAGGCAACGTTAAAAACAATCCCGTGAGCAATTTAAGGCCCGTATAGTCGTGTTGAACGATCGTTATATTGAACCGACACGACGGCCATGAATCACATTTCTAGCACACGTAAAAATAGCTAAATATTGGTCTCGCTCCTGGCCAAAAAACAAAAGGATCCCAAATGATATATCAGTTTAGGCTGAACACCAATAACCCATTGCAGCAACATCAGATCGGTTGGGCTTTAGACGTTAAAAGTATATTTCCACAATTAAAAATCACAGCTGGAAATTGTTAGCCATTTACAAATCTCATTTTTTAGTAGCACCGCTTTCATCACCAATTAAGCACCACTATTAGCCGAACCCCTGTCGAGGAAGGCAGTTAACTATTATTGAGCCAATTATAAGTGTTATTGCAGGTGAATTTGCTTGTGAATACTCTGATATTTAATATTACCACAGTTCTACGGGAAGATAACACTACAGTTACTATTATTTTACCATGTAGTCAGTTTTAAGGTTGTCATTCGTGGGAATCGATTGTGATCGGGCTACTTATGTTACAAGCTATCACCATCACAAGTGCTTTCCATCACGTCAGCGTCATTGATCGCTATTATGACTTGTACACCGCTGCTGCAATCAGCCACTGTTTCATGTATATATATGCGCCTTTCTTCGATTTGGCTAGCTGTAGTTCCTTAACTTTAAGACCTCGCGTCACACACATTTGTTTCGATACCGATTATGCTTGCGTCTGTCGATTCTGCCTACCTTTAGCCATCCCATATCGTCCTTTTATGCCCATCTTTTCGTTCGATGTGTTGTGTTGCGAAGAGCCACTAAAATGTCATATGTCCTGACAACTCTCATGCTTACGACAATCCACAAATTGTTATCCTGTTAGCTGGATACAATGATATATGCTTAAGCTTACGGTTACCATAGATTTGTCTTTTCTATTTATAGCTATCACACACACGTAAAACATTACGCGAATAGTGTTATTGCACCTTAGCCGCGGCAACAACGTCCATTATTTATAGATGGTCACGATGTTGTTTACTGTCGCAGTTGGTGCCGCCGTTGTTATTTGACTATTACTATATCACTGATGTTGTGCTTGTTAGATTTCGAGAATTTTTATACGCAGTAACTAAACATTAACATAGATATTAACACATTATATATATATACAAATACAGATACTTGTATATGCAGAGCTATTTGTGCATAAGAGGATAGCGGAACTAGCGTATGTCGCACGTTTATGTATTTTTTTTTATTTATGTAATCACTAATAACTCTAATAACTAATGTTGTCGTATATGTTGCAGCTTCTGCTGTCGCTGGTGTAAGCAAGCTGCTTAATGGCAGCATCGCTCACTCGAGGATCATTGTCCTATAGTATTTAACGAGCAAATCAAGCGGTCAACTTATAATCCAGGTCAGCTGCACCGTAGTACTGGTTAATTCGGCAACGAGCTCAGTATCGACAACAGCACTCACCTGTACAATTAGCTTTATGTTTAATTGGTAGTCATCGTCGATGCTTATGAAAAATATGCATTCACCGCGATAAACGAGGTAATAATGATGGGTAAAACTGATGAGAGAATGTAAATTATCCTTAATAAGAATGGATATAATGACGTAGCCATATTTCGTAAGGATGAATTAATGATGATAAAGAAAAATCAACGACGATCCATAATATATATATATATATAGAAAGGAAGGTCAATAAAGATTTACACTAAACGTATTTGTATCCATAAACATTTCCATCTAACATCAATACATAAACATTTTCATCCTGATATGCGAATGTTTGTATTTTTGTCGTTAGCAAGTGTGGGCACGATGTGAATGTGGCACGAGTGAGAGGATCAGTAATAAACGAGTGTTGATATTTAGCTTTTAATCGAATACTTGTTTAACTACATTGATTAACTTCCGCGCGCAGTGCTAGGCGCGGAAACTACTCACGAGAAGACTGCCTTAAATCTAATGAAAAACCTTCGTTACTCACGCACGTTGCGTAGTATATGTGCGTGTGCACATAGTTCTGGGTAATTTTTATTTAACCACATAATTGGAAGCACTATCATATGTTTCGAATTTTTATTAATATAGACAGCTATCACAAAATGTAACTTCAGTCTACTGAAGCAATGTTGTGTTGTTAATTTTGTATAACAGTGTTTAGTAAGAGTCGTCGTTGACATTAGACTGAAATGATAACGGGTTTCTTTTTACTCAGGCACCTTTACATTGAAAAACCGAAAATGAGTTTATGGGCACTGTTAGGATATGTTGTCCTCACCAATCTGATCCGCTATAACATCAGTCCATAATGTGTCTTTTTCGTCATCTAAAAACACGCAGTCAACTTCCCTCTAAATGGTACTGCTTTTTCAGTTGAAGACTTCTCATAGTTCCGCACAGGTTCTAGAATAAAAAATGCATCAGGCTTGTTTATTTATATGATCGCACATGTACGAATTGACGAGAGTTTAAGCGATACTTTGATCAGATAATTTTGTTTTAGGCATTAAGAATTTTTCTATTGGTCGTAGGCCGGCGCACGTGCACATATATCGGATATCTAAATATGTCATTAAATATATTGAAGATATAAAATCAATCGCTAAGGTTCTACAACAATGAAATCAGATGGGGATTTTAATACCTTCTGAACGCTAGATTCCAACTTCGAGAACGGGATGGAAAAATACGAGCCAAACAGGAAGGATTATTCCTCAGGCAAAAAATGTTCCTCGGACAGAGAGGTGGCAGCTAACGGCAACAGCTTTCCGCTGAACTGCTTTACCCACATCTGTTTTTATATTGGCCATATGTTCTTTGTAATGCATGTCAGGACCAGATCATTCACAAGGAAAAGAAAACATGAGCATTTTTAGGCGCTATAGTCATGAAAACACCGATCATAAAAACGCTGCTCGCATATAAACATTGTCTGAGGCTATGAATCACATGCTTTTTGTAACACCGTGTTGTTTGTTTAGTCATGTGTACACTTCGACAAGAACAAACGCAGGAGTGTGGCTTAGTGTATATATTCATACGAGGGTTACTCCTAATCACTTAGTTAATGAAATGTGATCATTACATCTTTGCAGTATCTATCCGGTTTAACACAAAATCGTATAAATCAGTCGTAAAACATTCCTGAAAGTTCTAAATAGAGCTACCATAAGCGGTTGACGCTCATCTGCTAAACAGATGCCGCTGGAAAGTATTATGCATTAAATCATTTACAAAAAACGCTGAAAATATCATCGTATACAGCCGTTTTGTGGACTATTTTGTGCACAATAATCTTGCAGGTACCATAGATGTAGATAATATATTAACCGTACCATCTCCGCAATACTTCATTTTAGTTTATTAACCCTACCGATGATGTCTATCTAGCAAATAAAGTAGCCAAAGTTGAGCTTATTTATTTGACTTGTTATTTGCGTTTATTTAAATTTAAAAATTTAAATAGTTTTAAGGCATGAGCTTATTTGACTTGTTATTTGCGTTTATTTAAACCTAAAAATTTAAATAGTTTTAATAGGGTTTATTAAATAGGGTACGAAAACTCACAATGAGATTCTCTGAAAGAGTTTAAAACGCATTTTATTTCACATATTACTTACAGATATAGGCTAGCATTGATTTTATGACAGTCATAGATGGTAGCGAAATGCTTGTCAGAATCGCCTAACCGTTGCTTACCCAAGGAACACTTCCTCATGACCACATATTTTTTTGTATATATACCCCGTCGTACAGGTTCATTATTCTTTACAAACAATGAGAGTCTGAACTAAATTTTGCATTCTCAATCGCCATTACTATCACATTATTAGCAGTTATTTTAGGCTAGGCTAAATGGTTTTACTTGCGACATCGGAATACACTTTTCCCTATAGGTTCGTCTTCTAACCTTTTCGAAGTCATATTCCGTATGCAAAACGAAATAGCGATAACTGTAAACTTTTCAAGTTTTATAATTTAATCGACTTCTGTCAAGCTGCCATACAGAAGGCTGCACAATATTATAACTAAGTGAGCATTCTGTTTAAGCACGAATAAGACGCATTTTTAACGACATTTTAATAATAAAAAGCCCACATTAATTATGTTCCAAAAAACATTCTAGCACCCATCTGAACCTACATTTGAAGCACAATAAAAACGCCAATAGGTTTTCTAAGCATCTTTTTATGCTTTTTATTTTTTTAGATTTTTTATTATTATTATCATTATCTTTAGTCTTTGCAACTTAAAAGAGTTGTTTCCCAAGGCGTTCTGTCAGTGTTAAAAAACCTTGCAACTAGTACCGGTACCTTATCAGATATAGCTTACAGACTTACCTTTCGTGCAGGAGACGAGCTCGTCTTGATCGAGATTTTCCCCGGATGAGGATGTGGCAGATGTGGAGGGTGGTGTTGGTGGTGTGGTGAGGCCCAGCACTCCCGAAACAGGCTGAACCCTCGAGGGGCACAGCGACGAATGGAGCGAGGTCCCCCTGGGCAGCGACATGCTTCTCGGACCCATTTCGCGACGCATTTTACCTTCTTATTTGTATCTTCTGGTGGTGTGTCCTCCCGGTGACCTCGTCCAGCTCTGGTGGGTTATGGCAACACCGAACTAATATTGGGAGCCGTTCTTTCGCTATAAAAATATCTAGGCTAGTAAAACTTTAAACTAGCAGGACGATTGTTTGGATCACGACCGCCCAGGGCAGGACCCCACTCTGCACGCCTAAATAAACGAATAATCGAATAAATAAAGTTAGCTGTCTTACTATCATCTAAAAAGTGAATAATGCTTATCAAAAAGTTACACAGGATTGTTTCGTTTTCTAAAATATTTAAATACGAAGTGAGCCTTGAGATCAGAAGCATACGGTTATTTTTTATTCGTTCAGTAAGCGTTGTTTTCTAATATCTAATAGACTAAGCGTTTGGTAGGTTCTGAGAACGAACCGATATTTCATCTCAAAGTTGTGGTGTAACTCAATAGGTCATTTTAGATAATACCAACGAAACAAATATTTCAGATTTCACATTTTAATTCGAGTATGCTTCAACATGATACGAACCAGACATGTTTGCAGAGTGAACAAAAATGAAAAATGATTTTTCGAAGAGTCTGTCGCATGCAGGTTATCGAATAGGACTGGATTCTAGGTTCGGAAACCTTAAAAACAACAGCATATTATTGGGTTTCTAAATTTTAATGTACAAACGAATGTCTGTAATAAATCACCGCAGGCAATTCAAAGTTTTTTTGCATGCAATAAAACTACAACAGTATGCACCTTTTAGCATACAGTTCAATCAAAGTGCGTAGAATAACGTGCAACACTTGAATGCCATCTAAAACAGTTACGTCGTTCAAATGTTGGTGTGTAGTAATTTTTCCATGAAAAATTGAGGGTTACCGCGTCTGACAAAAGCAGTGTCAGAAGAACCTTTTAAGCAAAATGCACCCATAAAAAACTCCATCGATGGTGACTACCGTTTAAAATGCCTGCATATATCCTATATTTGAACAAAACAGCATATATTCTATTAACTGCTTAGAATAGGCAGTCTTAGATAGTCCGCTACGATTTTAGACTACCTGAAAGTTAACAATCGTACGAAATGGCCTTATTTGAGCAGAATCAAATGTAGCCTCGTCAAATTAATACACAACCTCAGAGATCGCTTGTTTATGATGACTAAAAAGGCTTAGATGCAGCTTTAATCGCTTGATTCCTAGATAAAAATACTAGATAGGTAAACCTTTATTGTATCGGCTTATTTATATTTCTAAGAATAAAAATATCATTCTGGAACAATTAATTAAATAAGCTGGGATAACTGCTTTAAAAAAATCTTAGCTTATATAGAAGAAGTACAGAACAATCTTAGTTTCGAGTTTTACGTCCGATATGGTCGTTAATAGTCCAAATGGCTGGTTCCCAGCACAAAGTATGTCTGTGCCTAGACTACTACATGTCTCCATCTTTGGTGAAAAAGCATGCCACCTGTATAATACTATGGAGACCGCCCATGCAAAGCAAATAAGGCTTCCTTTGCTAAGAACATTGAAACATGCATCATCCTAAAGAACTATGAGAAACTGTTTCTAGAAAAAGCGCGCAAAGCAACTTGTGTGGAAACACAAATAGTTGCAAGGCTTTATTGAGGTTCCCAAATATTAAAAGTGGTAATTATGGTACAAACAGTTATTATCTATATATTATTTTTTGAAATCTTTCCATAGACAGTGGTAGTCGAGTTTGTTGCTTGGCAAACTTGACATTTACTTAAAGAAAGACAATAAAAACATCTGCTTTATTGAAAAGAAGCTAACGCAAAACAATTAAGGGATTCCACGCCTGAAAATGGTGGCGAATTTTCGATATAATTTGGCTGTTTGAAATAAGGAGATGAAGTACGGAAAAAAATCGTATACCGTGCATTTACAAATATTAAGACCTACTGGAGAACTTCCGTATGAAAAAGTACAAGCTTTTGAACAGTCCAAGGAGAGCATTCTGCGAAACATGTGGCATTTTTGCTTTCGCATCTTACCATTCCTGGCAATTAAGTGCCACAGGAAACAAAAAACAAAAACGAAACATTCAAAGAATCTAGATACTTAACATAATTTTTTTTTCGGTAACTAGAGTATTTCATTACGGTATTACACCTTTTTGATAATTCTTTTAAAAAATAATAATATATTTCTTAAACATTAAGACAAACAGGAATCGACAAAAGTTGCTATCTTTTTATCTTAAGTGAACTAACCCATGGAGCACCGCATCAGCACTTCTGTGGTCATACGTGAAGAAACCGAAGAAGTGTTCCATAAGAAGAATTATTACTAAAGTTCTAGCATCTTACCCACAACTAACCACATCTGGTTATCAAATGTACGCGAATATGTATGATTCCAACGAAATGTTTGAATTTCTCGCAGCGCAATAGGATTACTTCGATCTAACAGACTGTGACGAAAAAATGGATCGCAAAAACAAGTCCTGTTTTAGCTTTTATTAGAAATATAAATGCAAGAATCAAAATATCGTGCTGGGGTTTTAGTTGACTTTCTCGGAGCAGGTGAAGCCACAGAACCACTCCCACGTATCTTAACGCGCAGCTGCGTGATGCGCACCTTAGATCGTCAACAGCGTTCGTGCAATGAATCCCCCCCGTCATTATGCCACGCAACAATGTGCTGATTTCACGCAAAAGCAAGTACAGTTGCATTATCTGTTTGCATACACAATGACATGACGATGATAATAACATTTGATTCAGACAAAATACGCGAAGAGTATCAGTCGCTATTTTCACTTAGACATCCTCCGCCCGAAGTCCCCGTATCGATAAAAAATGCGCGTTTCCTAAAGATTATTGTGTACAAAAAAAAAAAAAAAAGAGAGAGATGAGTGCAACTCCCGCGATAACAACTATCAAGTTAAGATGCATCTTTTAAAAGTATCATATTCATACATCAATGTGAAAACGACGGAAGTATTATACTGCAACTCTTTATATTTATTTTAATAAATACATTGAATATAATTTTCAATTGATAATGAAATATTAACGCATTTGGTCACTGTTTTTGCTAATATAATAATATTCTAAATCTAAGCACGCCTTTTCCTCAAGCTGCAAACCGCTGATGTATAAGGTACATTTTTCGTACTGCAAATACTATATTTTTTTTAAAACATATTTTTCTGCAAACACAAAAGTATGTGGTTATATGCACCATTGGCAAAGTTAACCATTTAAAACCCCACCACTGGAGCTTTCCTTCTATTGTCGGCCGTACTTAGATATCAGGAGTGTTCACGTTAAATGAAGGCCACAGCTGGCTAGCTGGCAGATACATACATCTGAGACAGATTTGTCATTTCCGTTAAAACTTCTATCTATAATGAAAAAAAAGTACAATACTCATTCTATAGGGTGCGCTATCGTATCCGTCTCTCTAACAAATTCAATTATTTAAACCACCTGACAATAAATATGCTCTAGATAACCTAAACAGCTTAATACATGGACAATTAAAACATTAGCGTAGTAATCCGATCACACCAAGGTCCTGACAAAATAATTTGAAGCTACAGGGTTTTCTTAGCGAGTCATTTGGGCAGTCTTCGAATTAGTTTAAGTTCATGTGTGAGCCACAGTAACGTAGTGAGAAGAGTGAGGGCTCCGACTTGGTGAGATACTGCAACTGGTGTTGGCACGTATGTCAACAATGTTGTGATGCCAAGGCCCACTTGAAGCCAAGCAGCCGCCAGCATCGCGTGGGTTGCAAGCCGTGCTCGTGGAGGAAGTGGCACCTTACGTGAGTAAATATACAATGCTGTTAGCAGGCAAAACACCGTTTCACCAAGAAGTCGATGGTCAAATTGTACCGTAGTGGGATTCTCTACGAAGTTCTTCCACTTCGGTTCGAACGCCAAAATATCTGAGGGAATCCAACTATCCGCCATTTTCGGAAATGAGTTATACACCAAGCCGGCTTCAATTCCAGCGACAAGTGCTCCACTAAGTGCGGTCGTAAATACCAGTCCCGTGGCAAGGCGACCATACCACGAAAACCTCACTAGTGGCTTGCTGTATGCCAACCGTTGAGCAGGAATTAAACGGTGAAGGGCTGCCCGGAAGAGTAGACCGTAGAAGAAAAACGCGGCACCAAGATGAACTGCTAACCGAAGATTAGATACGCGTGGAGTGGTATCGTGTGAACTGGGATGTTTTTCTTCCAAGCCGCTGCGTACCATATACCAGCCCATTAGACCCTGCGCTGCCAGCAGAGTACCAAGGTATATTATCTGCTTTTTCATGCCCCTATTAAAGTAGCCCCTAGCCCAGAAAGCGGCTGCCGGTATATAGAAGGCTGCGCCGACTGTGCGCCCCCACATCCGATGAATGTACTCCATCCAGTAAATCGATTTAAACTGTTCAAGGGTCATGTCCTTATTGCGAACCTTATATTCGGGAAACTGTTGATACTTGGCAAATTCGGCTTCCCATTCCGCCTGGGTACGAGGTCGACCCTCATTCAGAGGGTGCCAATCCACCATCGACAAGCCCGACTTTGTCAGTCTGGTTAATCCGCCAAGGAAGACGGCACCCAAGGCCATGCCACTGCATGTTAATAGCCAACTGCCTACTAGTTTATCTGCGCGGGATATTCGTTGAACCGCTTCCGCTGAACCAATAACAGTCGTCGCAGATTGACGAATGGTTATAAATGAACGAATTCTAGGCATAAGCTGTTGCAATGCTGAGGAGAACCTGCGATCGCCACATCGAATTCCCAGTCTAGCGTGGGTACACACGACGCCAATCTTTGGTACTAACATATTCTACTTAATGTCCTTCAGAGTTATTGAAACTGCAAATTAACAATATACTGTACAACTTCACATAGAACTAGAGGTTTTATTGAAACACTGCGACTTTCCAGATATGTCACTTGTTTGTCTCGGTTCGACAAAAGGGTAGACGCTATGTGTTTGTTTACATCGTGCTAAGTGACGGAACTTTTAGAGGTCCAACTAGATGCTGCGTACTTATAATTAATGTTAGAATCTTTCTTATGCGTTTATAGGATTTTGCGAGAAAATGAAAACGTCAATTTGTATTGACTTAAAAATCTGCCCCTATATCTATCGTATTTGCCGTTAAAAATTCGCGGAACCCAGACAGAGACACTTTACACCGCATATGTGTAACATAGGAGCAGTGTGCCTCAACAGAATTCGCCTTGGGTCCGCTTTAGACCGAGCTTGGCACAAACTGACCATTTGCCCGAGTTTCAGACTTTTTATTTTCATAACTTATGTTTATATCATTTTGACAATGAGGAAAGAATATTAGTAGGAAAGATATGGCTTTCTACTTTTTGGATTTGAGTTTTTATATTAGGCATTTTAGAATTTCTTTATCAGGCGAGATTATTTGAGAAACTGGAAAAAGGTAGAAATCACAGAGTTCTGCTGCTTATGAAAAGACCATTAACTTCACTTCTAATTGATATTAATGGAAAAATTATTGAGCTTAGAACTTCCCATTCTTAGTATTTCGGTTTTGAAGATACTTTGACGAACACGAATGGGCAAGACGGTAAAACAAACAAGTGCTATAGCACTTAATAAAGCAGCGCCTTTTCTTCATTTGAAAAATACGTATTTCTTTTTAAGTTTTTGCCTACATTTTTCTAGAAGTTTTTTAGACAGGCTATATATTCACAGACGATTAAGGACTCCTTGCAGGCCAACTCGATACGTAAAGCCCCTGCGAGTAACATACTGGTCAAATAGACATGTTCGATAGCCTCGAATGCCAAACCTTTGCAAGGTTTTCGAACGATAGCTTTCTAGTCTCACAATAATAAAATTATCTAATATTTGTAGCAAAAACTCAATAAAAAAGTTTGACTTCTAGCTTATTTGATCAATGTAATGTTGTCCCTTAAAAATGTGCGAATAGGCCTCATATTCATCCTGTTTCAGCTGGGAGTAATAGGACAACGCTCTCGAGTCTCTTTTGTTTCTTAGTAAATTATGACTTGTAAAGATGTCGATAATGAGTTAACTCACATTAAACATCGAAATGTATATTATAAATGTTTATAAATAAACACGACGTTTTCACATGACAATGGTCTTGTTGGATCAGTAACCGCACGACTATAATCGTAAGCTTTGTATTAAACTAACTAAAAAAAAAATAGCTTATTTTGAAAGTAAGGGAATCTGAAGACCTTTGAAGCATGCATAAAGTACAGTTAAAGTTCCCGTTTCTAACCTATTTACTAGTAGAAACTTCAGGAGACATTATCTGAATCATCCAACTGAACCCTAGTATTGAATAATATGGTGACGTGAGCTGCCATTTATTGTAGTTAGACATTGACTATAAAATTTCGTTTCTGTTCTGCTAAATTGCATTTTATATCGCTAAAAGCTTTCAATTAGCGTATTAGTTAATGGTTAATATTCGTCGGACCTGTAAACGATATTCAGACAAATGCCAAGCACATACATGAAGGAAGCTATCCCCCATTAATTTTAGCATTTTGTCGGCGGTGATGTTCGCTCTTCTGGCGAGTTCTCGGAGGCTTACTGCATCGAGTCAATGATTCTTCTGTCATTTCCCTTTGCTCACGTTTTGCAATTATGCCCTATACCTTTCCATTGATTTTTTAGGTTGATTTGCTTCCATCGATGCTAACGGAACGGTGGCATCCTTTGTTTGGTCCACATCAGGAGCTAAAAACTCGACGATGCGCTCATCAGCTCGCAGCAAGCAGCAAACTAGTGCCTCTCACGCAAGGAAAACCTTAATGGCAAAATGGAACAACTAGACATTGCAGAATTTTTGAAAACTTCTTAAAAAGAAAATAGTAAGTAGTAACAGGAAGCGGTAAGGCTGACTACTGACTAACGGCAAACCGATAATCATCACAGGGGAAAAACGAAAAGTAACGTAGACGAAGTGATGATGTCCTTTTGCTTGAATGCAACTCACCAAAGTGACAGAAAAAACTTTGTAACTGTAGTAAACCAACGCTAATCGTAATGTGACAGTACTGTATTTGGAACTTTTATTTTGTGATTAATATACAAAATAAATCCAAAAGCGCCCTGAATCAGGGCAACGACCCTAACCTATCGTTGATCAAACGTATACCCACACGCGGTCCCATACAATTTTGCTTTCAGCTACAGTATCGCTCACACTAAATCACCTATTGTAAAGGTAAATTATTATCGGGATTTCGTTGACAGCTCTAACAAATACCAAAAATAAAGCTAATAGCGCAAAGACGTCATACAGTTCACTTTTTTAATTACTTACTGCCATCTAAGGCAACATGTCCGGTCGCGTGAGTTCCAACGCTCTGTTGGGTAATGATCGTCGTCTCAAATACAGAGCCTGTCAACCTTTACGGGATCTCGAGCCCAATGTTGTAATTAGTTGACAAGGCAAAACCACAAATGAGACACAAACACGTTTATTAGAGACCTATCAACACTTTACAATATCAACTATCATCACGTGCCTGACTCGCTAGACAACCAAATCCCACAGCTTATGGCATTATTTAGTGATAAACAGCCAGAAAGCAAGTCTAAAGAAGATCATGAAGTTGGACTCGTACGGCCAAAATGTCTAGAAAAACAACATTTTCAGGCGATTTTTTTCCAAAAAGTATTGCCATCGAGTTCTGGCGGAAAAATAATATGCGATCCTATGGAAAACTCTACCGCACCGTCATACTTGCGTACCTTTGTGCCCAATGCAAAACATTTTGTCGCCATTCTTATGAATTATTTCACTTTTTTACAACTAAACATTTCAGTTTAACGAAGTTTACTAACCTATTCCAATAGGGGTCTCTTCAAATGATAATCATTTTCGCAAAACACTTCGCGCTCATCCAATTTCGGTAATACGTAGGACGTCATATGAATAATTTTGCTTTAACCAGCGTTTCGAGCACTGATTTATGGCCGTGAACGTAAGACGTTGGCACATAAAAGTTGACTTCTACGATGGCTTCCCGACAGATTTGTTCAGTCTCTACACATATATTTTCGTACAACACTCCATAGTGGCGAGCCGACTGTTATCTCTATTCGATATTCGAAGAGGATCCGAAAGGAGTCCATCGGGAACATGAATCTAGTGCATAGTCAAGCATATAGATTATACGAACTAGAGGAATCGTACCATACTCAATAACTTCAGTACGGCTAATCCAAGCCGACAGAGTGGCGTGCTTAGGAGGTAATGAAAAGCCATACCGTAAGCCATATAAATGAACAACGTCACACTAGCGGGGTTATAATGAAACTACGTGTGCGTATACCTACTTGGGTTGTGGTTAGTATTAAAATGCATAAAAAAAAGCTCTATTTTTTCTTATAAATAAGACCTATAAAAAAATAAGACAGGTGCAAGTTTTTTTACCTTATAGATCGCTGGGCAACGTGGCTAGATTCACGGCATATCGGATTCTGAAAGGAGAAAAATACATCTTGTAATATCCACTGTTGTCGATCTACAGATTTTCGATAACTCATATATAATAGAAAGGCTCGGGCGGACATTGTTTCAATTGTTTTATCTAACCCTCTACGTTCATTAGGACATCACATCTGTGACATTTGGGAACAATTCTTTTTCAGGTCATTGGTGTTTAGGTACGTTAGGTTAATTCGTTTACCTTACTTTAACTATTAGGTATGGTTGTCGTCAATAAAGGATCCAGTCTGTTCTGTTAAAGGATCGGTTTCAGTTACGAAGAGATAATGCGACACCCTTGAATTATTCGAATTTAGCAAAGTCTGCGCGTTGAAACCGTGCTTTGGCGCTGTTGAGACAAGTCAGTATTTAAGTAACTTCCGAGATACGTACCAAAGAAGGACAGAATAGTCGCTCGCCTTGTACAGTTCTATCTCATAATTAATCGTACGTCTCAGTGTTATCGCCCCACACCTATAATCGTTTTAACACTGAGCGTGTATCGTCGCGACGCAAACGCCATGCAACGAATGTTGGTGGTAAATTCAATTCTCCATACTCTGCGACTTGTGCCAAGTGAGGCCTCTATACTTTTCCATATCGGCACAAGAGTTGAACCGCTATTTTGTAAGTAAGTGTCTCACTGCTACGAAATCTATCGTCAGGTCCGCTAAAAAAATAACAACAGTAACGCTAGTCAGTATCCTATGCAACTGCGTCAACTTCGATTTCGTCTCCACGGGACGACTGCGTCCGACTTATCAAACGACCGGTCAAGCAGAACGAACACCTACCTATCGTCACGATAGAACATGGAGAGAGGTTCCAATTGTCCCTAAAACTCAACGAGCCAATGCGGTGACGTCAGCCGACACCAAATAGTGCCATTACCATTCGACAGTTCTCTCGTTCTTCCTCACGCTCCAGACGGAAAAGAGGAAAAATATATCATCACAATAAGTGCGAAAGGTAGCTACAGTAAACAATGTGAAAGAGCCAACCAACCAACCAACGACGCTAATAACGCTACAAGCATGTTACGTAACAGATTTATTAAATTACACACTAAAAATGACCACCTTAATGGTAATAACAACGATGATAGCAACAGCATCAATGTAAATTAGCGCCATCATTCTACTGATCTTTGTTTTCATTTTTATCGTTGTTGTCGTTACTGTCGGCTGTTACACTAAAAAAAATGTAATCGGTTGTTCTAAAGTTGTTGGCAACGCTGCTGGATGTATTGGCAGCATCGGGCGTCGACATGGTGGCAAAGAGTAGGGCGGTTGACCGTATCGGCATCGCGGGCGGCGACTCCAACGAAAAATTGCTCAGGGAGAAGACGAAGGGACTTTAGGGTAAGCGTTAAACAATAATATATAATTTCTAATCGTAGTGATAATATATATATATATATGTAAAAGATATCGCTAAGCTGATGCTCTTCTGCCTCTTGTCACGCAGGGTCGTTAGGACTTGCCTGCTTAGATGTTGACATCGAAAGATAATACGGGTAGGTGGGTTGTAAAAAACCATGCAAGGGTAAAACGCGCGTGTTGTTAACGGCTGACAGATGATTGTCGAGGTGCCGCTAAACGCGAGCGAAAGCTGACTTGCCATTTTGGAAGAGGAAGTAGTTGCATTTGTATTTAAGAGATGTTTCCTGATCTATGTGAAGCTTATGTCGAGTAAATGAGTCGCGCACAGAGGTGTAGTGTCGAATTCGCCGATGATCGACGACGGCCAGCGTACTTTTAATGCTTAGCGCGTCTATTAGAACAAGATGGCTCTATAGAGACTTGAAAAGAAACAAACTCTTATGCGTAACATATATCTAGACCACAATCGTACACAATGAGTGGCTCATACTATTTACATTATGGAATTATGTTTCGCTAATAAGCAGAGTTATAATTGGCGGAATCGTTCTGTTATTTCAGTAACACTTAGTAATAAGACAACTATCGTTACTGTTTTTTTTTAAACAAAATATCACAATAATAATAATAATATTGAATTATTGCTAATATTTGGAACATGAAAACGATTTATCTGCAAATAATACCGTCTAATTCTAAAAGCTTGAACTTGTTGTCAACCACATTTGTCTTATAAAAAAAAAAAAACGCAGTACCTAGACACTAATAATTAGCAAGGAGTACCAAATGTAACCAAATTTACTGAAGATTTTATACACTGCTTGAGATGAACCCGGTTATGCTCGACAAATGGAAGACCATACAGCCTGTGTACATCACGTAGGAACCGTAATAAAAAGAATTCTTTTTAGCCGCATAATGCATGAGGGACTCAAACGGTAGAACCAGACATGATTAACTAAACGTAAGAGCGGATTGCTTTAGATATTTATACGTACATATATATATATATATATATATATATATGTTATGTCTAGTACTACGCTGCTCGGATAGAGCTCAATCTAAACAGATCCGCAGTTCTTACATGAACCGAGCTGGCTATTACCGACATTTGTTTTTCAGAACGCGAATGTGGCTAAACTAGCGGTTAAAGGAACAGGGTAAATAATATGCATATTGTAAAAAACCTAATATTTTCGCCTAAAGAAAGGCATCGATTACAATCATTATTAATTTTGTGCTGTTGTTATACTCTTGTCATGGGATGAATCGCGTTTTGTCGTCCATTTTATCAATAGAGCAATAGAAAAAAAAACATTCTACAGATCAGTTATAATTCATCTCGGCATGTTCTGCCATTAGTATATAGCACGTTGGCAAACGTGCCATATACTAATATATATAAAAAGAAAACTTGGCAAAGTTTTCTTTTCAATTATCACATTCAAGATAACTCCCATGTGCCATCGAATTGGAGCACAGCAATTTTGGTAGGGCCTACTGCTTATTTTTTTGAACGATGCACCAAACGAATGTTGTACGTATATACATATATTGCCACGCTTACTCAAGACGATCCTCTGACTCGCGTCCGGCTGCAAGATTAGGTATGCAAGGGATCTCAGATCCGCTAAGGGGACACGCAGTTTTATTTACGGCCACAGGCCTAACACTCGTTTCTGCAGTGTGACAAAAAATTATGTTTCCAATGACGTACGCAGTTAATAACTATCTTGCACGACATTTAATATAAACTAAAAAAATGTCGCTTGATTGGCAGCGTGTGCCGTACGCTAGAAAAGAGAGAGTAACCCCTAAATGGGTTCAAACTTCCAAGATTAAGTCGATAGTGTTGACCATAGACGAGACTGTTATGTAGGCAAGTCTTCGTTTATTCACCCCATTAAAATCCATCGGGCGGAAAAGCTAAGCCGCAGAATAGTCGTGTTATGGGCAAGGTGGTCACCGACATGAGTCATATGGTACTTTTGTAGTTTTCAAAAAGGACAACAAAAATGGGTAGTCTGAATTTCCGTGAAGATACATGCTCGATAGCGAGCGCCTATTAGTTGGCAACTGTAAAGATCGAAGAAATACTGTCAAGCTTTTTAGCATTTGACTTTATACCAACCGTCACCTAAATCAACATTGCTCACATCGTCTGCTGCACGGAACAGACTCAATGTTTATCTCAAACATCCACATCAACGGCAGAGATCACGCGCAACTCACCTAGCTTTAATGAGGTTGTTGTATAATACCACGCATATCAGTTTTCTGACCCCTTCGTCTTTACTCTGATGGATGGCTATGTTCAGGGATGATAACGAATAAATTGACACCACTTACCAGACAAACCGATTTCTTTTTTTTTTTTTTCTTTTCGATATTGAACATCTCATTGCTTGGTGGTCCTTGCATTCGGAGCAGTAAACTTACGTTGAACCGATGCACACGTTTTCTGCAGGCTCATTTAGCTTAATAATAATAGTACTGATCATGTTATAAAAAAGTTTATTCCCCTATTATTCTTCCTGTAGTAACCACCGGTATTTTTGCTGTTCTCATTTTAGACTCTAGCTCAATGTTGAGCGAATGAATTTCTTTTTCTATAGTACTGAACAGATTGTTGTGCTTATATCTCTATGCATCAGATTACTTCACAGTAGACAATACTACATGTATTTCGGCGTGTTACATTTTACCTTCCATAGAAAATATTAAAGGTATTGTTATTGCGGTTGACGCCGAAAGTGTTAGTCACTCGTAAATGCTGAATTATGCATAGCAGCTCCACGCCACTGCATCAAACGGACAGTCTGCCTAGGATGATTCCGTTGACATCTATCTTGCTAAAGTTAAAAAAAAAATAGAAAGGGTGCGAGTATTCTTAGACCAGTGTTTGCCAACGTATTGCATCGTGACTCCGAGCTTCTTATCATCGTCATTATCACCAACATCGTTATCAGCACTTGTGCGGCTCAAACTGACCTTTCTGCTCCATTTTTGACGTCACTGTTGTTTACTGCCATTTCACCCATTTGTATAGGGGTACAAAGACGACCCCACTGGACTGGAATGAGTAGTTCATCCGGCCCGCCTTTTTGTTCATTTACCCCATTCTGACAGATACACACACAGAGACACGCATATGTGGCTTTGTTAACCTCTAACCCCACCATTTCACCTAAAACTTCCCCATTTTTCATTGAACCACCCCACCCTCCACATGAACATATTTCGTTGAAGAGGTTCAGAAAAGAAAGTTTCCCTTGTGTCAAGTTGCCCGATGTAGCGTTTTTAGCAGAGTTGAACAACACGCATAGTCCGATCTATCGTGTTTGTGACACTGGTATTTGAATTCGATACGGTAACTACAATTTAGAGTAGAGATACATACAGGCTTCTACATGGAACACCAGCGGGTCAGAAGTGGCAACATATCAGTCTTGGCTGAGCAGTTGGTTGTCGTATCCATCTGGATGCTTGTCTGTCTGGTTAGAGTCTTTATCAGCTGTCTGAACGAACCAACAGCGAAAGCATCATCAACGACAGCAACAACAGCAAGGGTTTTCTGATGCGCTGAACGTGGCGTCATTCGCGGTTGTGTCCTATTGCGTTCGCGTGTCCGAGTAACATAGCAGCGGTTGGCTGGTTTTGGGTTCGCACGCCAACCAACTAAGGGATCTTCACTTGCCGGTCTTCTTCTCCTTCCAATTCCAGGTTCGCCTCCCATTAGCGTCAAGCTATTCATCGAATTTCTTCTTTCACAAGTTTTCTGCTTTCTGTTTTTGTGTGGAAAATATAACAGGGAGATGCAGAAGCAGACAAGAATATGCGTATTATAAGTCGGTAGCTTGGAACTAGGTACTAGGCACAACCGCGACTGACGAAGAAGCCGACAGCGATTATTTAAGTTCGCCTGTTAAGCGGTCGGTCAAGTCGATCCTCGAAATGTTGCCAGCACGAAAAATTGACTTGACAGAAACCGTACTGTTTACCTATTCAGGTAAACAATGTGGCACGAATAATGCAGCTTTAATAGACCTAAGAGACTTTCTCTCAGCGGAACGTGTTACCTTTGCGTTAAGAAGACGTGAAAACAATTCAAATGGCTCTGATCGAAATCGCAACACTTTAGAGAATGCAGCCTGCGCTATTGCACTGAGTGATGTCACAACCGGACATTTTTGTTATTACGCTGAGGTTTGATAGGGGTTCCACCTTTCCCTTTTTGTTAATCGGCGATTGGTTCCCAGCGCAGTATGCAGCGTATTCGATGGGCCTTGAAGTGTACGACGTAGACAGCATAACAGCGTTGTAATACTTTCTATTGGCGTAAAAGTCGTTCAGTATATTTTACTATGGACAGTTTATTCGTTTCTTTTTTAAATAATTTTTGAAGCTTTAAATGAGGAAAACTTATTTCAGATACTCAATGTATTTGTTATTGGAGCTCATTTTCGACCGTGCTTACCCTTGAGAATTCTAGCTGATAAACTGCGAGCTGTACACGTATTTTCGTGTACCTGAACATGCCTAATCCTCTTTGAAGACAGTTTTTGTAATTGGTGTTCAGCGAGTGCAAATCACGCAATGATATGGCCTCTGCAGCCCTGTATAGGGGCATAGAACGTCAGGGAAGTCATGCGATCTCTTGGAAGAATCACGCTCTTCTCTAAGCACTTTTTTTTCTATATATCAAGAATTGTGGAGCTTTTTTTTTAGGAAACTCCCGTATGTGGGACTATACATTTAACATTTCCTTTACTGACCTAATCGAATTCGTAACTATATGTATATATATATACGTATATATCTTGCTATTCATCTCAAAATTAGGGTATCATTTGTTAAGTTAATCAACTACACTCTTTCGTTACTATGTTCATACATGCTGTGATTCAGCGACAAGTCAACGCCGTACGTTCCATATGTCATACCATTTTACCCCATCATCATTTCATATACTTCCGTTCTAAACAGCCGAGTACCATGAGGTATGCGATTTCCGAATCGTACTCACTGATTATACCATGACTGCGAGCACTATTTTGGCCGCTTAATTCTTCTAATCGAGGAATTTCGTTATTGCATCAAAGTAGAACCCAGACTGTTGTGGGCAGTCAATTCGGGGGTATGAAAGACTGCCTGTCGTTGAATACCAATCCCCATAATTGGCGAACAGACTGGTGGTTACCTCCGCTTGTTTTTGACCATGCCCCTAGTCGCCATTGCCTATTTGCCGGTTACCATGGCAAGAACAGTGGACACATCAATATCAACCGCTACAATGACAGTTGCTTTCTATTGCTATCACTGCACCGAACCAACTCGGATTTTCTAGAAGCCTCCAGGACAACGAGCAAGTCAGACGGCGTCATGGCATAGGGCCGTCAAGCTACTAAATATGGACCTACAATCTCTGTGGCGTGGATGCATAAGAGCCGCTTGGCAGTAAGACGTATCGAGAGCAAGAGTAAATGTGTTTATGGAAACCAACAAGGGTAAACTAAAGCCTGGTTGGGAGGTCCGTTTCGCATAACTAAAGAGATAATGCGAAATTTGCACGTCCATGGGACTGGTATATATAGCGGGTAAAAATAGACAAATATTATTATGTAAAAACCGAGCAGAACTTCAACAGGTATTATCACTGTATAGTAATTAATGCTCACGGGTTGGGCAAAGTTTACACTTCCTTAAGCCTACCTAAGAACATCTCATACTCTTTACTTGACAGCAGCTGTCTACAAATTACCCTAACAATATGCTAACAAAATAGATTTACGCGTAGTGAGTGGTTTAGCTAAAGACAAGCTAAGATGACGCAAGCGAACTTTTATTCTGCGCAGACAGAAGATAATATGCGTCCTGATGAAAAATAGATAATAACAGGATAACACGCGGAAGTTGTAACTCAAGGTTTTATAGATATGATACGATATAAATATGATAATTACGATAATGATAATTTGCAAAAAATACAATTTAAACACTAATTATTAACATACCTACAATATAAATTAAAATTATGGTAATTAGTAAGATAACCACAACGCAATCATGATCTGGCAAGAAAAAAATTAGTACTTTTCCCTACTCTCCGACCGGTCGCAACGACAGCAGAGAGGTCACCGTCCCCTTCGCGTTGTGATCTTCATTTTTTCATTTTCCCCTTGGAAGGAATATAAAGCCCAGAATTTTGACCTGTTTTACGTCCCACCGCCAGTAGTGTCACTCTCTCACCTTACACCCAGATGCACGCACACGGATATGATCACACGACGGCTCAATTATTAACTATCTGCTAATTGCCATACGTCTACATGTGACCGTTAGGAAAGCTCATGCCATACGTACGAGCCGCGAAACAGTTGTTTTCGTAACGCGTGTCCCGTCCGGTTATTTTAAAAGCCACCGACCAGCGAATAACAAAGAAGATCGAGAGTGACCTAAACGTTGACAGTGTGATCCCCATAAGTCTAACTGCTACCCCAGTTCTTTTAGCCGGCCAAGACTTTACAATTATCAAAGCCGACTGGCGCCGACTCACACAACGGGTGCTCCAGCGCCATACCAAGTGTACACCAACTTGGAGCGAGCAGTCAGTCATACATGTGCAAGTGTACCAACACCGAAATTAGCTATTTGCCTCTGACGATTCCAAAATAGGCAGAACAAAAGCTGTAAATCGACGACCGTCTTGTTCGGGTCCCTGATGTCGGAATGCCGCTAGCTCTAGGGATTACCACACAGCCAAAACCAACGGAGATATTGAGTACAGTGTATCAGTGTAATTAACTATGATACCCATTCGTTCCCCATGTTCTCGGCCCAAAAAAGACAAAGTGGTCAAAAACGTGCGCACTTCGTTATAAAGGATTTATGTCTCTGTTATTACTGTTGTTGTTGCTGGCGCTGATGTTATTGTTGTGCAACTGACAATCACAACCCTGCACGTGTGATCTATATTTCATCGATATGTTACGTTACCGTGAAGCGAATGCTCAGCGTCTCATGGAAATCTGCATGTTGCGTGACCATGACAATAATGATCGACAAATAGATGGATAGACCGCCTCGATGACCCTGGAAGATTACATTATCCTGTTTTTGTTTTTCTTACGATGACAAAAAAGAAACTAGCTTATGTGAACGGCGCACGCTTAGCTGGACAGTCCTCCGAACAACAATGTGTCATTAATAAACGCAACCATAACAAAGAACATACCGTGCCATTTTTTCTTTTTTAATAGCTGATAGCTATGACTATGCTGTAGTGGCACAGAAATGTACGTAGGTCGAGGAAAAATCTGTTATTTTTTTCCTCTAAAAACATCGTACAAAAACACCGTTATTGTAAAGTAGACAAAACTTAAAAAAAAAAAACATCTGTTATTCGCTGTCATAGATTTGTAGCGAGATAAAGGTTTGGTTGACTTTAGCCAGAAGCAAGGAACTTCTCGGTGTCCACTGCGTGTTGAAATGTCAATTAAATGAGGCATGCTATTGCTATCGCAAGCTTCTTGCCTTATTGGCACAAAGAAGAGAAAATTACGAACATATATATACATACAAATAATTATTTTTTTTTCTATTATGTGTGCATGTGGTAGAGTACGGCACACGTATAACCACGTGTAGTATAGACTCGTGCGGAATCGCTGTTTAAACAGCTTGATTAGGATCTTGAAGGTGATAGGCGTTAGTGGTATTTACCCAACATTTTTACCGGGGATATTCGAGGTCATATTTAGTATGCAAAAGTAATGATAAACACAAATGAAAATGGAAAGGAACAAAAAACCTTTAATTTTAAATCCATGCAAGTATCATTTTTCGGATACCAACTGGAAATCAGTACTCACAATCCAAATAATTCCGAAGATGTTTTTCATGTATCTTATCACATACTGACTAATATCTTCTAAAACGGATATCAATTACGTTAGGACAACAGGTGTTAGCAACAGAAAGTCGGCACTCTGCTTTCCTCCGTTACAGTAGAGTTGTCAATGAGGGTGCCTGTAGGACTCTCAAGGGCCTTACATGCGCCTAGACCAACATGTGTGTGTCAAATATGTGAAAGCAAATTAATTTCAGAGTTTGTCATGTTCGAAACTTTTGCTTTCCTATCATTAAGCTTATTATTAGATTTATCGCGGCTTTAACACACACACCTGTCATTAGAAGTATCTGCTCGAGTCCATGCGTGCGCCCAGATCGTTGCAGTACCTCTGTCGATGACACTAACATGAGGTTCTGCGTTCACAATATCATAGTAACTTAACTTGCTATCATGGTCCGTGCATGATTTACCATATACCCGCTTACCTGTATGTTAGGTGGATCGTCGATCCTTTGAGTTGATTCAGTTGCCTGTAAATTACACAAATTGAACCTGAATTATACCAACTGTGGTCCGCCCTATATGTGCGAACCGGCCTTGAATCATATTCAAATAATTCTAAAGGTCTATTTTTGAGCATGTACATGAACAGCTAGAACAGGTGCAAGTCTCGCATTCACTATAAGTGTGCATTATACGTCTTCCCTTATAAAGTTATCCCATTTACATTACATGTTTCGCCGTAATAAATTAACTAAAGGACTTTGACTGTTGGTACGGTTAAACGTTGGGTATCTATGGTGTCGACAATGAACGTTTAAAAAATTGTTTGCTTAGTCATCGGACCGGTAGTTATTTACCATTACATGACCAGCAGTTTGCTCAAAGGTTGACGAGGTCAGAGTGCGAATATACAATAAGCTCTCCGATATTTTGAATGCTCGTCTGGCGCCAACAGAGGCTATTTGTTAAATATTATTGTGACTGGACGCTCCACTCAGATAACGCGGCGTTGTCACGGTAGTATCGATTCCACCCAACACTTTGTCTCTGAAGATTATCATCCATTCGTATTAGCTTCGTTCTTTTTGACTAGTTTATTTTCAAGCCACTATTTCAAGCTGTAATAGTGACTATCAAAAAACTAGAGTATCATAATAGGCAGCTAATGATCACAAACACAGGAGCAGTAAACAGGCGGTCACCATTACGGCAATAATCATCGTATTCAACATCACCATTCAACGTCAACATCGATAGCCTACATATGTATCGCAATAGGACAACGTCTATCCATCAACGGGCGCTACTGAAGAACATGGCGGCGCTAAGTTGCCTCGTTTTCTACTACTCGTTTCCACGTAGATGTTTTTCTACGTGTTTTCTAGATTTCTAGCCGTCTCGTGCCACTTCATTGTCATTTCAGCCGCCCCTTTGATTGGCTACGGATGCATTTCCAGAAGACTGAGACGTCGAACAGCGTCGCGTCGCGTCACAGTCGCCGCAAACAAAACAAGATATAGTTGGCGATATTGCAGAAAAATGCTGGTGTTGATAAATACGGACACGGGCTGATCGACGCTGATTGTGGTCCGAAACGGTTAGTCTTTCCAAGAGTGTCTGCCACGTAGCGCTACGATCTCTTTGTTTCTTTCGGGGGGCGCCTTTCTACGGCGAAGAGCTACGCAACCACACTTTACCGTTGTTTTGTGGTAATGCTCTTATCGGCGCATACCACCGCGTCAATCGTAATACACAGAACTTTTAGTAATGTTGATGATCGTAACTTTTAGTTTAGAGGAATACACAGGTTTAAGTTGCGCACGAGTTTGCCCGTTGCGGCGCCGTTTGCTGGATTCATCAGCAGTCCTTCGCTTCCGCTGCCATCCCTCCTAGCTACCACAACGACAACAGCAGCGGTAGACATTTTGGAATGCGCATGTTTCTGTGTATTCCGCCCTCGCACGTCCATTTGCTTGAAGAACTGAATAGAAGACAGTGCACAGCACAAGCGCTACCCTGAACGAGGCAAACAACGTCGACAACCCGGACTGATTTTGCTGTGAGCAGCATTTATTGATCATAATATTACATACACATATACGATATTATCGTAAACGATTGCTGCAGGCAGCACAGTATTGCGCATACCGTTTTGGTAGTAACTATTATTTGGCACGGATTTACGCCATTGCACACGAACAGATTGGGGCAACGATGTCGAGTATTGTATTCGGCGTCCCATCATATGCGCATAATAGCGCGATATATTCTTCCTTTGGACGAAGAAAAGTGCCAATACAATTTTTGTCTCTTACTCGATTTCGACGTAATCGAAATAGACCTGAATAGTCGAAAATGACGGAGCGGCCGAGGGGAGAATAATACCGAAATATTTGTGGTTGCCCGCCAAATTTGTTCACACCTTTTTCTGTCCGATTCTTGTTGATCAATATGGGTCCATAAGCGAAATCGTTGGGGAGCCATGCAAGGGAATGCCGATAGTAGAGAACAGTGTAACTAGTTATTTGTATCATGTTCTACTGCAGAACGAAGTTGTGAATCTTTCCCTAAATGTTGCTATGATAATTACAGTTCTTCGGGTCACTACTAGCCATCGTGGAGTGCTGGCAATGACCAGGGGGTAATGGGACACCTCTCCTTTGTGACTGCAATCGCTTTTGGGTCAGGAAAGACATCCAATATCTGGGCAGTCAGCGCTAACGGCGGCGGCGAGCAATGTCGAAATACTTTGTGGCAAAACAACAAAGATGGCAACAGAAGCGAGTTCTGCCACCACGTGTCACCAAACAATCAGTTTAGCAAATGGCGTCGTTAATGTGACTGTTTTTTTCACTATTTTTCCTATGAGTGTTTTTGCATTTGTAACATTCATCGATTGCGACGCGATTTTGTGATTTTTTGTTTTTTTTTTTACCGAAGACATGCCCTGCTATGAAAAGTAAAGATAAAGAAAATGAGCTTAGCTTCAGACAGAACAAGGATATAAATGTGGATTCCTTGTGAAAATACAAAATCTGAACGTTACTGTTATGTATTCTGTCAACAGGTGGACATTTTTCTAATTTCGATGGGGGTTTGCGGTACGAAAACGGAGAACAGACGCCCCTCACTTAGTGATTTTATTGAGAAAGATCATGCATCAGGAGTGTAGAGGAAGTCAGCGATAAAAATTATCGCCAGAATCGCCAATGCAGTGGTCAAATCACTGGGGAAGTGCAAAGGGCCCGTCAAATCGAAGTCATACTAATTACAATTTAAATATGTTCGTCTCTCTTTGGATTCAAGTCGGCTCTCAGTTGAAGTCTTACTGACGCCGTGTCGCATCTCGAGCCAGGCTATCACCGGACGATCAATGATAGGCGCCCGTAGAGAAAAACAAATTCCCTTATTTGACAGACGCCGCCAGCTGTAATTAGTTGATTATAGATCAGGAAAGAATAAGTGAAGGTAGAGAGATTGACCTCAGAGACACAGCACAATCAGGGTTTATTCCATATGGTTTTTCCTAACTTGGCTTTCTAGTGATAAGGATGCCTCTTTGCTTTCCAAGGGGATCTTGGCAACCGTTTCTTTGTAATAAGCTTGAGACTGAGATCTGAATCGACAAGCGCTATTTTGTATATACATTGCTTCGTTCCTAAAAATGCATATACACAGGCGGTATGAATTATATTAAAATTAACACTATCTTTAGCGGGGTATCTAATAATTTATAGGCGAAGTCATATTTGAATTACTCTGGTTAGATCCTGATAATCCCCTTGGGTAATGTGGTGGGTGTTCCGATGAACCCAAACAATTTCAATGGCAATTTTATATATTCCAACGGGTCCCACTATATACTTTATTATAATTTTAAAATTTACCACGGCCATTGCTGTTTTTCTTAATAAAACTGATATTAAATAATCATCGTGCGGTTTTAGGACTTCCTGAATATAATGTTACCTGGATGATGGATGTATTAATGGTTGAAACCGCGAATTAGGCACAATAGAATAGCGTGTCGTCAGTCATATCATTAAAGCATTGCTCTTCCGTGAGCTGATTAATGGTTCCGGAGGTTCGTTACTGAATGGTGAAACAACCCTTTTTGTATGGACAAATTTCAAACGTTTTCACGAACATTTCGGTTCATATTGTATTGCTTTTCAATATGAAAAATTTCGGCTATATCTTGAACTATTGTTTGGGTCTCAAATATTGATAAGTTAAGGATTTGAGCCACTGGGCTTTTGCCATAAGCTAGCGATCCCGTCTAAAGCTAAAAGATGAAGACGAAACTTGCCTAGCATCAATAGGAACATTATAATTTGCCGTTATGAATATGAGTTGAAGTAATTTAATGTGAAATGTAAAGCGTATTCCAACGACATCTTTAATCGGCCTACTTATGAGACCTATTCTAAAAGATATTATAGCGTGACTCAAATAGTCTTTCACAGAATTTTATCCAACTATATGTTCGGTGTTAGCAGATTTGCCTGTATTGCGGTAAAAATGGACGTAGTCTGTCGTGTTTAATAAAATATAGAGGTGTCAACAGTTCCATATATTTAATGCATTTATAATTATAATTTCTATAGCAATCAATACTCTTTCGTTGTTTATCATACTTTCTCTATTCACCTCGTTCAAAGTGCACCTTGATTGTTTTTTTTACTGAAGTTCCATCGTCAACATCGACTGCTAGGATCGAATCTCGGACGAACTCTCATAGTTGATAATTTACTAATCTGGTAGAAAAGAACATCGTGTATGCATATATTAGCATTGCAGCAATAGGTACGCGATTACTGCCGCTATACCTGCGACACACCTTGGTAACCTAATTCGTCTAAAACGCTCCCCTGAGTCGCTCGCAGATCCGCAACCTAGATGTGGTCTTTTGCCTGTTATTCTCCTGCCTTCGCATTAGAAAGGACTATGACGATGCTCTCTGCAAGAATAATAATGCTCATATAGAGTTTGGAGTTCCTCTGTAGCGCCTCTTAACTCGAAACCCAGAGGGGCAACAAGTAGGTAAGTGCAACAAGTTTTCGGGAGCAACAGCGCTACCCCGAAACAACAACATTAACGTATGAGGTAGCTCAGTAATCTGATGATGACTTGTTGAGCGGACGGCAAGCATTCTCTCATTGGCTAGAATGAAAGTCTGAATCAGCATTGGCGCTGACGCTGACGCTGACGCTACAGCAGGGTCATTACGTAGCAAAGCGAAGCAGTGGCTACCGCAACCGTGGTAGCAGCAAAGACTGCGGCGGCAGAAGGTAACCAATGGTTCCTGACAGATAACGTGAATAGGACCACGGCAAACGAGAGAAAAAGGGAGCAAGCCGAATCGAGTAGGCGGGATAGAATCGAACCATTAGGGCAGATGTACCGTCGTTAGTGGCAACAGCGACTTAGAAGGCTTACTACACCAACAACAAGAGCGAAGCCAATACGTCACCAGCCAAAGATGTAACAAGAAGCTTACGTTTGATTCAGCGTGCCTATCTGCTCG